ATATATAATACATGCTTATATACATACTATATACATCCCTACATATACAATACATATACATATACATATCCATATATATATATATATATATATACATACATACATACATACATACATACATACATACATACATACATACATACATACATACATACATACATAAATACATACATACATACATGCATGCATTCATACACAAAAATACACACACACATATATATATATATATACATATAGTTGGGAGCATACTTGGGCTTACGAATAACCCCATAAGCAACGAATATTCTGTATGTGTTAGTTCTGTCAAGTTGACAGTTCAAAGAGCTTTCGTGCTTGGTCACTAAATGCAAAAGAACAAAAAACCAAAAGCTAAACAGATAATGCAAGACCAAATAATGTCCCACGTGCATATGTGACAGCATATGTTGCCTCATCACTTCGGATCCTTTCAAGGAGGACTCAAAGTCGTGATAGTATCACAAATAGTACACACACAACTTTCACTAACGTGCTGAACCCATACCGCTAGTTTTATAAAAACTTTAATACATACGCATCTCTTCACGTTTCGCCAGCTGTGTCTGGGTCATATTGAAGAACACACGTTTCTCTTGAGCTGTTAGTTGACTCCATCTATATTTAGCTTGGTCTTCAAGATCATCTGCTGAGAGGGTATCTGAGGGTCCGTATTGAAATATATATATAGTGTATAGCGATATTAATGAAGTAGGCGGAAAGTAAAGATATCGAAGTATACAAAGAGGAGTGACTACAAGGCACATGAGGTCAGTCTATAAACCGGAGAACAACGAGAGTGAATGAGATTCCGTAAAATTGCACAATTTACAGTAGTGAGACGGCAAGCGATTGAGAACGCATGATTGACTAATAAATCGCTTGAGGACGTATCATAGACTAATTAATCAGCTAGAAAAATGCACTCCTGACAGGCGATACGGACAACGACAGCAATGTCTTCAATTTGAGTTCAGCAATTTTGTGCCGTCTCGGTAAAGTAGTTTCAAATTTCGCAAGAATACACCCGTAAGCCAGAAATTGTGTGCACACAACGACACTGAGACTACCAACTACTTTCAAATGACGAAACCCTCCCCACTTGCACGCATTCTAAATATATCTCACCATTTCCCACGCCAGCGTCTCTGCAGACTACATTGACGACAAAGTTCTCATACGGAGTGCGCACAGCATCGTGGAACTGTTCGAATTTCCTTCCTTCCAGAGGTGGTAAGCTAGTAGCTGGCCTTAGCGGGCACAACATAGATCCCAATCGATAAAATACCAATTCCAGCTCCGATTTGTCGGCGCCATTGAGTTGGTACCTAGTACATAGACAGACGATAGGTAAATGCTTCAATGCTTCTTCCACAGGGGCTATAAGCGAGAATGTATACAGCTATCCTCCAGTGATTATGGTGGGTGTGTGCACCACTATCGTGGCAGTTGAGGATTAATCTCACACACGTCAGTTGGACTGCATGTGGTCGATGGATTTTCATACCAAAGGGCTACTTCAGATAGTACCTGGTGTTCACTTGGAGCCTGGCGTTGATGGCCATACGGGTCAACTAGCTCTATTCTTTATTCGTTATGCTCTGCATGTGAAGGCTACTTCTTGATAACATAGTAACTATCAATCACATCCTGGTGACACTTGTAACTTAGCCATTCTAACTACTAGTCAGTGACGCAGAGTAATATAAGGAAGGTGAATTTGATATCCACAGTGTATAACGACTTTGACCTCACACTCACCTCGCTGTATTGACCATCCTGGATTTTTCGGTCATGTTTTCGAAAGGGACATCCTTGCCACCGTTCTTGCTATGGCCTTTCATGTAGTCCGAGAAGTTGGTCTCCATCTCTTCGATACCATCCCACATATATCCGTCCGATACGGGGTGAATCATCGTTCGGTTCCGTAACCGTATGTAGCACAAACCGTTGGGAGGACGGCAAATAGCTTCCCACCTGAACTTTAAGGAGCCTTCCTTGAGCATTTCTGTGAAGATGTGGAGGCGGTTCTCGACTTTCGCTACCGACATCTCTTCTTCAACATCATGTGAGCTATAAAGAGTATAAAACCACGTGAGTACAACAACGAGAGACATATAGTCTGTTATGAAGAGCTAAACACGTTCAAAGCTATTAAAAGCGAGCAACATGTATACACACATGTATATATATATATATATGTATATATATATATATATATCTACTTATATACATATACAAATACACACACACACATATATATATATATATATATATATATATATA